TAGTAGTCGTTTTGTTGCGAAGTAATTTAAGTTTTTGTGATCTGTCCAGATAGTGAATGGTTTTGCAACAGAATTCAACTCTGCTTTCCATTCCTTAAGACAAGCTACTATTGCGAGCATTTCTTTGTCGTGTATTGGATAATTCGCTTCGGCACTATTAAGGCGCTTTAAGAAATAAGCTATAGGCCGTAATCTGCCGAGTTTGTCTTTTTGCGAAAGGCATCCTCCCATGGCATATCCTGAACAGTCCGCTTCCAAAATAGTCTCTCGGTCTGGGTCCCACTGGGCTAATACAGGTTCTGTTGCAAAGATTCTTTTTAGCTCATTGAAAGATTTTCTTTCTTCCTCATCCCACTTCCAAGTTGACTTCTTCCTTGTTAACCTAATTAGAGGCGCAGCTATTTCTGAAAATTTGCTGATAAAACATCTGTAGAAGTTTGCGAGCCCTAGGAAAGACCTTACTCCAGTCACAGTTACTGGGGCCCTCCACTCGAGTATGGCTTTGACTTTCGATGGATCAACAGCAACACATTCACCGGCTTTGACAATAAAACCTAAATACTTCACCTCTTTGCAAAGAAATTCGCATTTTTCGATGTCTAAGTATAACCCTGCATCCTTTAGCTTCGAGAGAACACTCCGAACTATCTCCCAATGATTATCCTCACTTCCATCGGTATACACCAAAATATCGTCCATGTATACAGTAACATCCACGTCCAGATGATTCCGTAACTTTTCATTAATGTACTGCTGGAATGAGGCTGGCGCATTTATTAACCCGAAAGGAGTCACCAGCCACTCAAATAGTCCTAGGCGACACCTAAAAGCTGTCATCCACTCGTCTCCTTTCCTTATTCGGAGGCGGTGGAAAGCTGATTTGACGTCCAGTTTTGTGAACCATCTGGATTTAGAAAGCTGCCGTAATGTCTCCTTAAAAAGTGGGAGGGGGTAGCGGTCCGGAATCATTATTGCGTTTAAACCACGGTAATCCACACAAAAGCGAAGGCCGCCATTAGGCTTTCTCGCAAATAGTACCGGGGATGCTGCCGGGGAACTGCTCGGTCTTATCCATCCTTTCTCTAAAAGGTCTGTAAGGGTTTTACGCAACACTAAAAGCTCCTCTCGAGACATGCTGTATAGAGGCCCCCATGGGGGTGTCAAAGGCTTTCCATTCTCATAACGAAGGTTGATTGCGTGATCTAAGTTATCTCTCAATGGGGGCAAGTTATTTGCTCCGGTGCTATCAGCAAAAAGTTGGGCAAAGTCCTTTACTTTTTCCGGTAGACGGTCTTTGGCGTCATTTTTCGAGAGAATTGGTTTTTTACGGAGTGCTTTACTTACATCCTCTATGGTAATTTTGCCGATCGGCACTGAGTCGCTCATCAACATCAAATCTTCAGTTGATGAATATTTTGGATGGGGCACTTGTCTCAAATTTTGTCTCCATCTCTGAACACTATATATATTCATGTTTCCTTTTCTGAGCTCAAGACATTGGTTCTTTGAATGAATTATTGCGTCTTGGTCTTCAAGCCACTTTTTTCCTAGAATCATCTTGTGTGTGCTTGAAGGAACGACATACAGCCAAAGTTTAGGTATATGAAAGCCATCGAGGTCGAGCGACAGGTGGGTTATGTATTTAACAACAGGTTTAGTCCTCGAAGAATTCTCTGCTGTCTCAAGGGCTCGTGGGGGTATTATTATGCGCGGCAAGTTCAATCGTTCAGTTAGTTCATCACTAATGATTCCAGAACACAGGCATCCATTATCTACTAAGGCTTGCACCATAAAAGTATCATTTAACAATGCATTAATCAGAAATGGATCTGTATTCAACCTATCTTCTTTATTATAACTTGTTTTGGGCTCCCGTGCGCGACTGTGTACAGGAGCTTCTAGTTTTCCGACCCGCTCAAATATCCCCTTACCGATCCTTTTTGTCCTTCTGGATCGATCTCTGGTAAACTAGCGAGATTGATATGTATATTCGCTTTATTCGGATTTCGTGCGGGCAGAAGTGGGCATTTTCTTGACGAGCAACCCACCCTTTCGCAACGAAAACATTTCCTCTCTGCTCTTAATTGATCTAGCTGTGCATGGGTTTTCCACTTGGCACGCTGTCTATCCGTGCTTGTTATACCAGTCGCATTTATTCCACCCATAATTACATCGCAAGATGAGTCAGTCGGACTTGTATTTTCCCGAGGGTTTTTATTGCCATTGTTTGCATAATTTGCCGGTCCTGTAGCAGAATAGCTGTTCCTTTAGCGTATTAGGACAGGTTGATTCTGTCCCACCCAGTTGTCTGCCATTTCCAGCTGTTGTGCTACCTGATTTACCAGTCTAATCCAGACATTGAAATTGTTATGGGGCAAGTTTGTATTTCCTGCAAGAGCCAGTATCAAATCCTTGTTTAGGGCGTTCTAGAGCATTTATATCTTGTTAGTATCGTCCCAAAGATCTCCTTGTGCCTCTGTCAATTTTTTTGTCCAAGCTGCAAAAAAAATCTGGCCACCGCTGTCTCTCAGACATCTTCATGGCCTGCAGTTCCCTACCTGCCCTTACAGCCTTTAAGGGATCGAGGTATAGCTTATCTAAGAACTCAATGAAGTCCTCCGGCTTTCTAGATCCGTGCACTCCTCTAACCTCGTAAAATGAGCCGGCTTTATTTAATGCTGAGCCTTTAAGCGTGGTGTATATCATTACAAATGCCCTCGAATCGTCGTAACCGAAAGCGTTCCAGTCCATTCTAAAAATATCTAGGACTGCTGTTCTCCACGATGAATAGTTGCCCTTATTACCATCGAACTCTGGTAGCTTAGTCGGCTTCAGTCCTTGCCCCCCTGTAGGTGGATCTTTTTCGATGATAACCTGTTCGAATTGCATTGGCTGTTGCCTGGCCAAGTTAGAAGCCTGAAGTTCGTTGATCTTTTTTTGCATTTCAATTAATTCTTGCTTTAATGACTCGTCTGTCATAGTGGAATAAAACAAATTTACTGAGATAACTGAATATACTGAGATAACTGAGTATACTGAATTTTACCGAGATGACTGAATATAGTGATAATACTGAGATGACTGAAAAAACTGAGTTTACTGAATTTGCTGAACAGTCAGACTTTCCAATTGTGAGAGTTAGTAAATATGTAACAGTTCCGATAAATAAAGCTTGGGCGTTCATATGTCGAAAGGTAAGTTTATTTACTAACTGAAGAACAAGACTACTGCTACACTCAACGCCCTATTTATATACATGATTCCAATATTTCAAACACTAGTCTCTGTCCTCTAGTCCGGCTCCCACTACTAAAGTGTGGGCTAGTTACCAACAATGTTTCATGCACGGGCAGTACCAGACTTTCAATACCAGCGTATCTTAGCGCTGAGGTAATGAGTATGCATGAGATGAATAGCACAGACTACAGGCAATCTACCGGCTTACTAGCTGCCACACATAAAAGAACATTGGCAATTAGTACATAGATAGGCACAAGTACATGGATAGGAGGTGCCGCCTGTAACATGTAAAGGTTTTGCGGAACCTACATAGGAACCTATGAGCAGCCCGGAAAATACAGAAGCTCTAGAAATATTCGAAATGCAGTACGAGATACAAGATGATATTGGCAAAGATATTGGATCCTTCATAGGGCAGATGAGGGTTAGAAAGCGCTCCTCAGTGACTCAATCAAAGTAAAGATGACACTAGCCTCAATGGAAGTAGTGGGATAATGTTACGGGCTGTAGCCTTGCATGTGGGTCCGGAACTATGTGGCTCCAGCTATGAACAAAAGTACACTAGTGTTAAGGGCGAGGAGAATTACGGACACCGCACGTAAACTGTACCACAAAGAGTTAATATTTTTCTATAGAGATTTACTACAGGAAATCCTTTGAACTAAATATGCCAGCTACAGCCACCAGTGATCCAGTATCTCGACACGTATTCTTTTTGATACTGAGTGATCTGTTATCCAGCCTCAGCATAATTAACCGAGTGATTCGAGTCTCGAGAAACTCTCTTATAGATCACTTGGTTAGTGTCCTTGAACAAGGCTGGGCCTGAAAGATATCCCAGCCTAACCGAACTGGGCACAGCCCGTAACAGCTAGTGTCACGGCAAAACACGCTCAAAGAGAACAAAACATCTTGCTTGTCTGTCTTCAATATTCTTTGAAATAGATAGTGTAAGCAGACTCTTGCACAAGTCTGGATCGAGTCCAAAAGCGAAAGCACGATCTGCATGCAGGCATGTTAGACTAGTAATGATGCTCAGGGGCCTTACTAGGGGTAGAATTAGATGTTATAGTACTAAGATGGAATTGTAGCGCAGAGAACATTAATCAATTCATTCTTGTATTTGCTTTTATCTTTTTACAATTCACGTGACATTCACATAAAGATCTCTTTAAGTTTTGCAGATTGACTATAGTTTCATTTTTGGATCCTTGATTGTGAACAACAAATGTGTAGTCCCTTCACAACAGTAGTCTAATTCCGGCCTGATTCTTGCCGAACTCCAAAAAGTGACCTAGAATCTTATCAAAGCCCAGTGAACTGGTAAGAGTACAAAATACCATCCTGTAACATCTAGAAACTAATTGCTAGAATAGCTTAGAATTCCATTGAAGTAACTTTAACCTGTCCAGAGGGACGACATCTGAAGCTAGGATCAGACTCTACCTCAACACCATGAATTTATCCATGATATAGCAGTAGCCACATAGTCTAAGAGCTAATGACTGGCAGACTACAATCTCCACATCAATCAGTTCATGACAGTTATAGACTCAAGTAGCCCAATAAAAACCAGACCTAGTAAACAGACAGACAATCATATTTGAGCTCCAGTAGGAGTGGAATGAGTGCAACTTTACCTAGCACGTTGTGAACAGGCAACGTGCTGCCACTCTAACAACCAATATAAACAGAAAAACTTTGCCTCTATCAGGAAATTTGTAAGTAGCTTGAAATGGCTCTCGCAGATGGCACAATTTTTAAGAATAATATGACATTGGTAGTTGAATAGGGCAATATTTGCGTCGCTCAAAGAAGGCTTCTGATTTCCGGACTCTTGAAGGGTTCGCAATTAGAAAATTCCAGACCATCACAACGGCAACAGAACTACACTTCTGATCAATGACGAGATAATATCTCTTTACTTGTGGAGCTGCCGGCTGAGTTAGCACAAGATTCATAGCGTTGGAGATTCATATTTTGAGCTCACTTAATTCGGAATTGACATTTTCGTGGTAGATTTCGCGAATGTAAAATTTAAACATTTTCAGAAGATTTTTATTGTAGGTAAGCTTTTCTGGATTATTTTTGAAGAAGAAAAAATAATCGTCTGTGTAATGCTCATCTAGATGCTGTGTAAGATATTCATTTCTAAATTCATATGTATAGCTTGATGGATCTTCGGAGTTCAGGTAATTATCTCCTCGTGTGGAAATGTTGATATGTGAGCAGGCCTCACTGCGAACATATTCGAATTTACTGTAGTCAAAAGTTACTCGTGATCCATTGTCTGTACATTGAAAGACCTTTTCTTCCTCTGAAGTTGTTGAAACTGGAAATACAAAGTTGAGAAGAAAGAGACCGATGGGAGCTATAGAGCGCATCTAGATTGTATCAGGTTGAACCGTGGAAAGTAGACGACGAAGCCTAGGGATTGATAGTGCTAGTGTCGAATGAAATTTTTATGAGATCGTACTGGGACAAACTCAGTCTACTAATTGTACGAATATTTATATACTCTTTTAGAAATTAGGAATATCAATCTTACCAGACTTGTGTTCGGTTTCGATCAAATTATACAATGACTCGACTCTTCTTGCGACCTTCGTGCCAATGTCTTGGCTACATTATCATATTTTGTAATTTTCAGCTTCCTTACGAGGTATTAATGTCAATTCGTCGAGCCGAAATTAGGCCGCTATGGATGGGTCCTAAATGGCCAAAGGGGTCCGTTCTAAAAAAGGGAAACTGGAGGATAAGACATGACTTCTCGGCCCTGACTTGATTTGATTTGTATGCTCATCATATTAGGCTTGCGCTTTACACCCAATAGGTGTGATGCGTGTGTATGATACCTGAGGACTTATTATTAACTCATTACATAGATTGCTCGACAAATCCATAGGTCGAAAACATAAACAGAGATATAATTCAAGAAAATAAACGGGTTGTGCCTTATCCACTTCCTCCCTAAACTTAACCTCGAGAAATATTAACCTTCAGCAGAACTCAATCCTCCCAATTTAGGCTTTACTTCTCAAAACACCTGGTTACCAATGAAAATGGAGAAAAATTTACCATCTTTATTTGACTGACATCTCCCGCCCTATTGGTGGTGGTTCTTGCTTCAAATTTCTCCGTTAAAGTAGTGCTGTCCCACATTTTAATAAATGCCAGGGACGCCTCTCTCTTCCACACACGCATTTGTATTATGTGTGTATATGTGTTTGAGTGTCTTTATTGTACTACTTGAGTCTATGACTATCTAGCACATTGGGCTCCCCTCTGACTTAGGCCACACCTTGTACAGTGCTCCTATTCTCTTTTATTACTTGAAAGATAATTGATATATTCCCTTTGATTAAAAGCCACTCAGCTCAGTGTTTAACCATGGAATTAAGCCACCTTTTCCACGGAACCTTCTCCCCCCCAAAAAAATGGTCGCAATGGAAACTGCGTGCACGGGAAAAAGTCTCAAAAAACCTGCAGCCCCAGCCAGGCGAGGCCTAGACACCGGGACCACATGAGGTGCGCATATTCATCTATATCTCCCTTCTTTGTAACAGTCGAGGTCGACTTGATCAAATCCGCCATCTCCGTATCAATTGCTGGTGTTACAGGTTATTGCCTTGTAGATGGGATCCAGAGTTTATTCGGCTCCTAGGGGTTGATTATGTCAGCGATAAGCGAGACAACATATAGTGGGTGATCCCACAAGTATGTAGTTTATCTATTTAGACACAAAATAAACCCATCTTGGATACGCTCGTGCGGACAGCTATTCACTCTGGTGCCATCCTTTCACAGCTGGGTACGCTTCTGAAACTCATCGGATGGCTTTTCCTCCATGATTAAGGGTTGGCGATGAGTAGGGCTTCAACCCTACCATCTGATCTGATCGTGGTTAGCTCTATGATAATTGTGGTAGGGGAATGTGTTGAGAGATGAAGACAATACAGACTGCAAAAGCCATTGGGAATCCTCGTCAAAGTGAAAACTTTGTAACTCAATCTCGGCTCTACAGACTCTACAGCGAGAGCTAGAGGTTCGTAGGGGACACCACTGACAGGTGTTGGGAATAGTCCCCCTCGAATTTTTATTATGATTGGTAGAAAATTTGCGACTGTACATTGGAGCTGGAACAGCTGTGATAGTTTATGGAGAGATATCTTCATTGATGTGCAGAAGTGAGGCTCCTATGAAGATTATTGTGATACAGTTGGGGGAAGTTCGTCCCTTATCTCCTAGCTTGTTCGGCTGTAGACCGATCACGTTACCAGTATGCAGCTCACCCAAGTGTACTCCCAACTGAGCAGCTAAGCCTTTTTTCCTGTATCAATACCCTATCTCTCAAACTGCACATAGCGCTATATGTTAGGGAATACATCTGGATCAACATCATCCCCTGCCAAACACTAGTCTTAGCGTATAGCATATGTGTTAGTGGGCTAAGTAATGGGTTGTTATCACATAGGTTGAGTTCAGGGTTTATCTCATGTAACTTTGAGCTGTCGTATAAGTTGGGAGGAAACTCCAGTTCACTTTTATTTAGAGTATAACTAGTTGCTTTACTGCTGATGGGACTGGGCATGCAACGTTTTTGTATTATAATTACCTGTTGGAGGCTACTGTAATGGGTTTAAAGAATTCAGAAGTACTTGAAAGACGTTAACTCAATAGGAATTGATAATTTTTCCTTAGGAAGCTAATCTGCCTACGACGGCTCCTGTCCTTTATGTCCTCCTCAGCGTCGCGTTTAAGCTCCCCTCCTAGCCTCCCTGAGAATACTCCATTCTCCCCGGCTACCCTCTTTCCTGTGACATCCTCTGTCACGATCCGTGATAGCCGTATTGCGTGCGTGTGGGGATACGGGTTAGCGCGCCTTGGCATCACGTTGGATGACTGAGCACAGCCGAGGGAGATATCTTAGAGAGGGTCGAGAGTAGCTACCTCCTCTCTTTGTCTTTTATTGCCTTTACAAGCGTACCTCTTGATAGCAATATAATAACTTATACAACCTCCTTGACGTGCCGTAACATAATAAAAGATCATCAACTCGCTGGGAAGCAGTAATATCCACTCGGAACAAATTCGACGTCGGCACCACCCTTTTGGTACGACTCCTACGACTCCCGCCTTACCTGTATAATTACAGGTGCCTTCTGCCTCATATCTCGATTGCAGACAGTCTCAGAGCAAGCTGAACTCCCTCTCTCTATCGGCATCACCTTTTTGATACAATACCTCAAACTTTGCGTCTTCGCGACACGGATTCGCGCTTCAGCCTCGCCATCAGCCTCGTGCGCGCATCCTCAACTACCAATCTCGACCTCTGCAAACCCCTCCCTACCTACGCGCATTCGTCTCAATACTACACACACGAAGAGCGGTCCCTCCCATATGCAACCGCGCCGAAGCAATCGAGAGCTCTCTATACCAGCCCGATTTGGATACCCCGCAGAGAAAAAGAAGAAGAAAGGCGATACCACGCCAGTGGAGGAGAACATATTGAGCACTATTGAGAGTGATACAATCAAGGAGGAAGACGAACACACAATGGTGGACCAAGCATTCTCTACCAGCCAGTTGGCGGCAATCAACGAGATGCTCAAGACTGCAGTTGTTTCTGCTCTCGCCGTCGAAGCTACCGAAGATGCTGCTAGAAAGTCTCGCGCACTTACTGCAGACCTACAACCGGCTATTGATCACTACCTCCCAAAGATTGACAATTCTGTCAAGCCTGTCGATTCTCACAAGATTCGCTATCCCCGCCTCCTCTTTACCGACCACAATGGAGAGATTGAGTACGATGCTTGGAAGATGGACATGAAGCTCTTTATTGAGGAGTTCTCTGGTAACTTCTGCGCTGGAGACTCCCAGGTAAAGGCGTACTTCAAGTCTACTGGAGGAGAGGCCAAGACTATTATCCTTCAGCATATGGATACAGATGATACCACCGAATTCAAGGGTGCTGCCGACGTCCTCGCTGCCCTAGATCAACGTTTCTTCGACCACAACCGTGTCCAAAAAGCCAAAGCTGCCTACAGCAACTTGAAGATGACTAGTAATATGACATACAATCAATTCCGCATCAAGTTCACCAACCTAGCCATCACTGGTAAAATCGCCAGGGCTCGTTGGTTTGATGACGTTTGTGAGAAAATCTCTCCTGCCTTAAAGCTCCAAATTATGACTGAGAAGTACAAGATGAGCAACAACTACACTACTCTCGACGAGTTCTTAGCTGTCACCGACCGAGAATCTCGCAAAATCCTCGCCGAGGATGCTCTCCATAAGAAGGTAGTCGCTGTCGCCGTCGGAAACAACGCTAGCAGAAACCCGAGTATTTTGAAAAAATCGGGATGGACTGCTGAGCGCCTGACGGCTGACGCTACTCGCAACACCCCCGCTGTACGCTTCCCTACCACTCCTGAGACCGTACCACAAGTCATACGTCGTACTCTCAGCGCTACCAATACCTGTTGTCTCTGCCGAAAGGAAGGCCATTGGGCTAGGGATTGCCCCAACGCCGTAAAGATCGCAGAACTGACTGGTAGATCGGTGGAGGAATTAATGTTAGAGCACGATGACGACGACGAGGACGGCCTACAACCTGTTGAGGTTGAAGAGCTGTCGGGAAACTCTTCAGTCGTGGAACAGTCTCCTCTCATGGCAAATGCCTCGATTTGTGGAAAGTCTTGAATGCTGATTTCCGTTCTCTTACTGGAGGAAAACAATTCCTAGTTAGTATTGAGTTAGGTAGAAATGGATCATTCATCAAAACAACTGCACATATCAACGGCGGAGCAAATATCTTTGGGGCGCTTTGTACCTCTGTCGCTCTCCAACTTCGTGACCTTTTAGGCGTCAAATTCCTTACTCTCCCCAAGCCAATTATACCTACTGGCTATAACGGACAGGCCGGCGCTGCTATCACCCACGTAATTCTCCTTACCCTCACAATCGATCGCCGCCGCGTCAACTTCCCATTCTTGATTATTGACCTGGGAAGCAACAATGTGATCATCGGCCGAAAGTTCTTAGAACATTACGAACTCAAGCAGAATTACAATCGTCGTACGAAAAACCGTTTAGAGTGGCCGTTTGATATGCCACCTCAGCACTACTTCGATAGGTGTCTAGAGCTACTCCTACCTCCCAAGACGCCCATGGTGAACCTACAGCACCAACTTGACCAGCAACAACGAGATGCTCTGTTTGAAGAAGAGCTCTCTAGTGTACAAACTCCCCCTTCCCTTCGACCGAAGAAGACTCAAAAGCGTCCCTCCTCGTTTGTCAGGGAACTTAAGCAAGGCTTCCTAAGAATGAATGAACTACTCGCTGATCACCAACTGGCTAAATCGCCCTCTACTACCCGTGATCC